TCACATGTGCTCTTTTACTCATTTTTAAATGCAACTAAGGGTCTGTATCAATCTACAGCCCAACACCTGCAAAATACCTAAACATTTTATACAAGTGTCTGGAGATCATTTCAAGGAAATTTATAGTTTACAACCACACTCTGCCATATACAATTTATTTTCAGGGAATTTCTGAAGTACTTTTCTCGTGGAAGAGCTGCTACCTTTATAACACTGGAAAACACCATTTGCAATAAAAGTGGTTTTAAGAGACCATTACAAATCAGAATAACTCGAGTTTATTCCTTGTAGCAGCTATTTCTCAAATGCTCCAGCTCCACATCGCTGTTCCTCACTCTCCATCACAAACTGGCATCTCAGCTCTACTGTTTTAGACACAGAGAAGACCAAATGCCAGCTCATTAGCAAAAATCTATTCACCAAGTTCATTTACAATAAAAATAATGACCACAAGCATTAAAGGAAAAGAATCCCACTTGTGAAAAACAAAGTATGGTCCAGGTTTTTTGTCTGCAGTCTCAACTTCTGTAGAGATCTGTTGGGTGCATCTGCTTCTGTGAAAGCTCAGCACAAAAATTTCACTGGGGTCTTATGGAGTCATTGCTGAAGTTTGTTTTCCCCCAATTAAAGAAGCTATTAAAGGCCAGTTTTAAAAAATAGCAACCTTTAATTGGGAAGAAAAACGCCCAACAATAAATAAAAAGCAGACACATTCACCAATTAAAAATCTGACAAGATCTCTCTGTCTTAAGAAGAAAGCATTTGCTAAATGCCAGGTTGCTTGTTTCAGAATACAAAAGCTGCTTCAATCAGCTACCAACAAAACAAAAGGTTAAGAAAAATCAATATACAAACACGTGTTTGTCCTCTGAGTCATAAAAGAAAATATTCCCCGACTTGTCCTCCAGCAGGTGAGCCAAATTTGCTCCGTTATCTGCATGGTTTTTAAAAAGACATTGCCAAAGCCCTTGGGATCAGCAGGAGGTTTCTGTGACAGCACACTGACCTTACAAAGTATCTTTTATTTAAGGAACTAGAGGGATCTTTCTCATCCTTGAAGGAATGAGGTGTTGGAGGCAGGTGTGCTGAGGAATGAGCACAAGTGCAGCAGCACGGGGAGAGAAGCTGTAAAGCCCTGAGATCCAACATCCACTCTGCAAGTCACAAGCCCAGGAATTGTCTTCCTGTAGCAAGTAATGCTCATTTCTCCTCAGCACTCTGAGGACAAGAGCAAATTGAAGATCCTTCCAATAGCTGTAAAGGCACAGGGAAAAGAAGGAAAGCTCCCTGAAGCTGCAGCCAAAGTGGGAATTTAGGGGCAGACTTTGCAAACACTCATTAAGCTTCCCAGACACTCTATTTCCTAAAGATTTATTGTTGGGGACAATCCCTTTATTTCTCCTTTGGGAGAAACAAGAGGGGAACTGGCCAAGAACTCAGTGTGACCCCAGCACTGCTGGGGGTGGAACAACACCTTCCTAAATTTGGGAATTTCTTGGGAGCTCCTGGCTCTTTTGGGATGGATCAGTCCTGTCCTGGGACAGCTGTACATCCCTCACTCCTGACAGTTCCAAATGAATCCATCCTTGAGGCTCCCCTTTAGTTTCTGTTCTTGGCAACAACCAGAAAACTCAAGGTGAATTCCATGAGTGCAGGGATCCTCCTACAGGAAACAACTGGCAAATAACAAATATGTTCCCTGACACAACAGGAAAAAGTGACACTTCAGAGGGACAGGAAAGGAATCACAAGTGGGACTCTCTTTCCTGTTGGCTTTTCCTTCATCTCAGAACTTTCTGTATTCAGAGCTGCTGAAAAGCAGCACCGCAGAGAGCAGGGATAACTTAAAATTCCCAAACCAGACCCCATAAAATTCCATTTCTGACTGGATTTTAGTGCTGCTAGGCAAGTTAAACTTGGTCATGGATCTCACCCCAAACACTCACACAGTGACACACTTTCTCCAGTCACAAAACTACAAGAATCCCTAAATCTGGGATCACAGAAAAGTTCCAAACACTCTCCCTGGAAGTGTCACACTTTCTCCTGGGAAGTCCAGTCACAAAACTACAAGAATCCCTAAATCTGGGATCACAGAAAAGTGAATTATTCAGTCTCTTGTGAGTGAGAGCTGCTGAGCTCGAGTAAATATCAGAAATTATCCCTTCATTAATAAAATAATTTCTGTTTACAAAAGGCCTTTCAGCTTCACACTTCAAAGCATTTCCTAGACAATACAAAGAGATTTTGAAGACCTAAACAATGTTTCTTCTTGGAAAACAGCCCTGTCTTTGCTATAACCAAGGAAAACATCAATACTTGAAGCAGCTCCTCTGGTTTTGTTTGTTTATAGCAGAAAAATGCAGTCAGTTTTGCTGTTTTTTATCCACTGTTGCCTTTATGGACCTTTCACACAGCAACAAGGGAGAAATAAACAGCCTACATAAACAGGGACATGCACGTGTAAAACCACAAGGATTGGCAGAAGCCTCTATTATGCATAAATGTTTTGGAAATAAAGCCATCAACAAAAGGAAACTCAGCCACATTTCAAACCAACAGCTCGCTGTTAAGATTTGCAATATTTTTCTGGAGCTGAGTAAAATTACATTTAAGCCACACAAGTTTAAATTTGTCTGCAGTGGTATTTTATGACTCTACAAACCACTAAAAAATTCACCTGTTGCTTGGCAAGTGCATCCTCACCTGAGCTCCTACATAAAAACAATGTCTGGAGCAAAGTGATTTAAATTCCTTTTCACACCATTTGCTTTCTGCACTTGGCTAAGCCTAAGAAACATCAATATTATTACCACAACACTTTTTCCTTCCTCTGCAATCAGTTCTACCCTCAGGTTTTCATGGTCTGGCTCAAGCTGACACGTCAAGCTCTGCAGAGAATCTCTACATCCAAACCAAGTTCTAATTAAATTCTGGAAGTTTAGTTATCAGGCTGTTCTATTGAATAACTTTAATTTCATAAAGTCAATAACTCAACGTTGTGTCTAAAAACCAGGTTTAAACTAGCCAAGGTATCAGTGCCTGGAAGCCAAAGATTCTGAGACAAACATTTCTTTTTATTTGGAGATCAGACCACTGTGAGCTCAGTCTTCTGGTTTTAAATAAATTTAATAAACCTCGAGTTAAGGTACAGGTACAAAAGGAAGACCTTAAAATACTCTTGGAAATTACAGGAAACATGGAAAAACGATGATTACAACAGGAAATGCTGCACAACCAGTGCATGTTTATTATCCTTCCACAGACAGTGGCACCAGCTGCCTTTTTTTTTTTATAGAACCAACATCTCCCTCAAGTTTTGCAAGATTCCAAAGGCCAGAGCGATGAAAAAAATGGAATTTTGTCCTAAACATTATCATTCACAGAGGATATTTAAGTCACAACCTTTCCTAGATACAGAACTAGTGTCACAAAAACTTCTCCAAAACCAGAATGACTGCAGTTTCTGTCCAAGACCCTGGAGCAGGATCCAAAGTTTGGGAGCTCATTGCAACTGCCAGCATCCTGCTGGTGTGACTGCAGCTGCCCACACCCGCTGAGTGAGAACATTCAAAACATGCAAGAACATTTAAAACACGTGAGAACATTCAAAACCTTCAGTGTGGGCAATCAGCTGCCAATCCACTGGTTTTAAGCAGCACAAAAAAGGTTTACAAGCAGCTAAAGAAAGTACTGGGGGGGAAGAGTGAATTCACATCCGAGTCTATCACAGAACCATGTTCAGGAATGTGGGCAGACAAAAATCAGTGGCTAAACATGACTGGAGACAACTCTTGGAAGCAGCAGCACTTTGCCCACTCTGGCAGTCCCACACAGGATGGAGTCCACCCACTGGACTTTGTGGTTCTCCAGATTTCCAGCCAGATGAATTCTACTCAGTTTGAAGATGGGGGTCACTTATGGACCCCACAGCAATAACATGACAGTGCCTTGGCTTTCATGAGTGGCATTAAGCTGATACTACCTGCAGGGTTCACTCACAGCATCAGTGAGTTTGGAAAAGATCTCCAAGACCACTGAGTCCAACCTGTGACAGAACCCCACCTTGTCACCCACACCAGAGCACTGAGTGTCACATCCAGTGTTTTCTTCAAGATCCCCAGGGATGAGGGTCCACCAATCTTCAGGGATGAGGATCCAAGAGTTTGAAGACCCTTCTTATCTAGAAATTCCTCCTAAAATCCCCCCTGAACTGCCCTGGCCCAGCCTGAGGCCGTTCCCTCTCTCCTGTCCCTGTTCCCTGGAGCACAGCCCGACCCCCCCGGCTGTCCCCTCCTGCCAGGGACTTGTGCAGAGCCACCAGGGCCCCTGAGCCTCCTCTGCTCCAGGCTCAGCCCCTGCCCAGCTCCCTCAGCCCCTCCTGCTTCTCCAGACCCTTCCCAGCTCCCTCAGCCCCTCCTGCTTCTCCAGCCCCTTCCCAGCTCCATTCCCTGGACCCTCTCCAGCCCCTCAATGTCCTCGGAGCTGAGGAGCCCAGAACGGGACACACCACCTGAGATGCGACCTCATCACTGCCCAGAACAAGGGAAAATAACTCCTCTGGTCCTGCAGCCACACTATTTTACACACAGACCAGGTGCCATCGCTCTTCTTGCCCACCTGGGCAGCCGCTGTCAAGCCGCACCCAGGTCCCGACCTGCTGCACAAACTCCCAGCCCCCGTGCCCCGGGCTGGAGCAGTACCCGAGGTTATTGTGGCCAAAACACAGCACCCGGCACTTGGCCTTCTCAGCCCCGCTGACCCCAGGGTGAGGCAAAGCACTGCGAGCAGGAGGAAGAGCGGGACATCCCTCAGGACAAGGCTCTGTCCAGCACTGCAGCCGCCCCAGCAGCGACCCAAGCTGGGGTCACCCCATGCCCAGGACGGACCCCACATCCCGGAAGCCCGGGCCGGGCAGGCCTCCCCAGCACAGCACGGCCCGCACCCGGCCCTGGGGCACCCTGAGAGGCCCGGAGGATGCGGAGCGGGGCCGCCCGTACCTGATAACCGAGATGAGCAGCCCCGAGGGGTCCTTGCTCCTGCCCACAGTGCTGCGGTACCTCCCAACCGCGTCGCCCGCCGCCATCTTGCGCCCCCCCAACCACGGCGCATACACACGTGCTGGCGCGCCGCAGCCAATCATAGGCGAGGAGGATGGGCTGCCACCCAATAGAAGGCGAGAAGGGCGGGGCACGCGACATAAAGGCGGGGTGCGGCGCCGCGGAGCCTTCTGGGAGTTGTAGTTTTTGTGGCGGCGACCATACAGATTCCTATGCGAACCTTCGACAGGCGGTTAAAAATGAGTAAAAGGTTAAAAAATTATCGACCGGGCAAATATTCCTGCAAAGACACCTGTGCCCAAAAGCTGTCATTCACTCTGGGAGCAGCAGGAAACGGTGGAGGTATGAGGGACCAAAACATCCCCTCAGAGCACTCATGGATCAGGGTTGGTTAAACAGTAAGGGATTTAATTGTTTATAGAGTTAAAAGTGGGTAAAGTGCTTTAAGTTTTTTAATTATCGTGTTGTATTAATTAGTAATGCTAAATACCCAGTGTGTGTCACAGCCTGAATGAGTCTGATCATAAACACACCCATAGGAGTTGCTGATACTTCTTTTAATTTAATGTCTTTAAGCTACAATGTTATTAAGAATAATTTCCCCCAGTTTTCCATGGGAATGCAGTGAGATGACCAAAGACGAGCCAGCCCAGGTTGTCCTTGAGGTGAGCTCTGGAAGCAAACTGGAGCGTTTGGCACAGGAATTGTGCTTTTGGAGCAGATGGAGGTGACGGATTGGAATCTGTTCATGACCTCAAAAATGCTGCGACACCCAACCCTCGTTGTGTGGCTCTCTTCCAACTCTGGGCATTCCGTGATCCTCCAGTGCTGGGATTCCATGAGACTGAACACCAACCTCCTTGCTTTACCACGGACACACTCCATGCCTTGCTGCAGAATCCCCTTTGGAAAAAGGAAAGGTGGATGTCACCCTGTCCAGGGCTGGGAATCCAAAGCTTGTTTTTCACCAAACATCAAACAAACCTCTCCCGAGAGCTGCCTCACTTTCCCCATTTCTTGATGAGGGATAAGAACACTTTTCCAGTCACATCCTCTGAGAGCTGATGTTCAAAAACACCATGCAAATCCCAGCACTGTTGTTGCAGAGGCAGAATTCCTTAGGAAAAGCAGGAACAACCATCACTTGGAGCTGCTGGGTGTTTTCTAACCCACGTTCACTCCATCATGTCAAACACGCTGCTCTTCCAGAAGTGTTTTTACTGCCCAAAGCTGCACCTTAACGATTTAATTGCATGGAAATTGCTGAAATCTGTAGGTGAGTCAAGAGTACCCATTTATATGAGCTGTATTTGCAACACGAGGTAATTGGAAGCATGATAATTCCTTATTTACAAGGGGAAGAATTCCACTCTAGCTGTTGTGGAAGAGCCTCTATTTATTACAATCAACAGCTGTATCTGTGATCATTAGCAGAAGGGCAGAGTGAGAGCATGGGCACTTTAATCCTGAAATACAAGATACTTTATTCCTGAATAAGCAATGTGTTTTCAGAACAGAAGAATTATCCAAAGTAAAGCGATTTTTATCTCCAGGTAGGGTGTGCACTTCGGTGTGCTCCCTTCTGCTACATTTCCCCTGTGCAGACGAGCTCGCAGCTCCAGTTTCCCATGCAGCAATGCCAAAATTAAAATCTCATTTTCCTTTTTTCTGAGCAGGTTTGCCAATGCCTTTGCCCAAGGACGGTGATTTGAATGGCGAGAGATTTGTGCACTGGCTGGAGGGAGTTTTTCCTCCAAGTGCCGACTTGCCAATATTGTTTTTGTTAATTGGCAATTGCCATTGACTGCGCTGGACCAGCAGGGCCTGGAGCCTGCAGAGGGGGTGAAATCGATGGGTCCCACCTTTTCATTCCTGACAGCTGCAATAATCACCTCATTTAGGAGGAACTTCATCAGGACAAACAGCAGCAATGCTGCCCCAGAACTGTGACCTGGCTGCCTTTCAATCCTGGGTTCTAATTGCTAAACCACTGCCTGGTTTCATTGAGCAGCCCTTTCCCTTCCCTCCTCACCCAAGCAAAGCCACAGGTGGGAATTTATATTTTCTTTACATGAAAGGGCAGAAATCCACAGAGGCCTGGCTGATGCAGGCTGAGGTCTCTCTTGATTAACAATATATGATAAAATGAGGCTGAAGGGTCTTGAAAACATCATTTTTCCTTAAACAATTTACAAAGAAGGGTCTCAATCTGAACAATTATGGAAGGGAAAACAGGGGAAATATTTTTTTTTTCTTTTTCACATTGCTTTCACATAGTATTTTAGTGCTCTGAGGTGTATCTGGTAAAATGGGTGGTTCCTCGATTATTCAAACCAAAGAAAGTCCAAACTGACAAAAAAATTGCTCATGATGATGAATGAATCCTTGACACAACTTGTCAATAGAGATCAGGTTGGCTCAATAGAGGGTCCCCCATTCAGAAGGGACTGGGAATCACAGATGGTTTCACTCATCCTTCCCACTCATCCTCCCTTCAATTGTAAAAAAGGGAAAGGAGGGGTGAACTTGTACTGAGCTATTCCTCATCAATGAGCCAGTTTCCACATAGTGCAGAGTTCTGCCAAGGAGAATTCTGAAGAGGCACAGGCAGAGCAGTTCTTTAGGAAATATGGTTTATTCCTTTGGGGGATGCCTTGAGAAGGCTGAGCTAGAGCAGAGGCTGGGCAGAGCTCCAGAATAAAGGATACAAAACCTAAAACCTGAGGCATCAAGGGAAGTGTTTTGCAAACTCCACTGGCCAGAGTTCCATCCCCCATGTGACTTGTGTGACACTAAGGGATTGCTTCCCTCCTTTCCTGAGGTAATTTTACCTGCAATCCCTTTCCACATTTAATCCCCTGATATTTTCTAAGTGTTTCCTGGGAATTCTTGGGAATTCCTAAACCTAAGAGTTTTGGGGCTGATGTACTCATGGGGTCTCTCAACCACAGCTTTAACATTTGAAAAAAATACCACAAGTACTTCATTATTTCATTTCAAACATTAGTGAAAATGTCAGACCAAAGGGTTCAGCCCACAGCACCTTCTTACAGGTGTAATTGCCTTGTGTGTAATGACTTAATATTGGTTATAAAGAAATCCCTTTTGACTTCCAGCAGTGTAGATGGGAGCAGAGTGAAGGCCAGAATTTCCATCTAAGCTGTAGGAGCAGTTCTGCCTGCAGAAAGTGAGCCTAATCCTGTTGGCATCTCTCAGTCAGTTTAATAAAATCTATTTTATCCTTCTTACAGAGATGGTCACCCCCACATCAGCTGAAATAGGTGCCTGGGTAAACGAATCAGGTTCCAGCCACTCCCTTCTTCCAAATAATTCTGGTTTTCTTATGAAGCTTTACCAAGCTTTGCCAAATTGCCTGAGTAAAGAATTGAGTACAAGTGTGCTGAAACATCAGGATTTGGCTCTAGGATTATTCACATATCTGGATGACCTTGTTATTCCTATTTACCATTAAATAAGTGTTAACTAAAGCTGGATGATGTTGTTTTTTGGAATTTCTGCACTTCCAGCACATAGCTGCCATCAATTTTTTTTGTCTCTGTGAATAAGAAGAAGCTCCTGGGGCATGAGAAGAAGTTGCCTGGCTCAATGCTGGGAATCAAGGCAGAGATATGATTCAAATGTCTCCTTATTGTTTTTTGCCTCCTGACATTTCCCATGTTGCGCTGTGTTCTGCTGCTGCAGAAAAATAATAGCTAAAATTAAGTTAAGTGGAAAAATATTGCTGCTTTTGCAGTGTCAAAGCCACAGAACCTGTGGTAATGCAGTCCCTGAAGGAAAGCAGAGCAGGTGTGAGGCGTTGCTCTTCACAGGCAGGTAAAGTGCTGTGAGAGAGGATGTTCTCCTTCTCTTAACCATTAAAAAACAAAATCCAGTTATTTGGCTTATTTTTCCCCCTTTATTTTACTTATCCTCACTAAGGGAATGCTGTTTTTACAATTATCCAGAGGCATTTCCAAGTCCTCAGGTGAACAAGCGCAGGCTGCTTGTTGGCTTCTTGAAATTAAAATCCTTAAGTCTTAATCTTCCTTTGGAACCGTGGAAAACTTTGGGTATATAAGAGACATAAAAAACAACACTCCCATTCCAACTCTCCCATGTTTAATTGTGGTTTTTTTCCCCCCCTTCTGTAAAGAAGTTTTTAGTTCCCACCCACAAACTTCTCTTAACCCAGCTCCATTAAGTTCCTCATGTTTTGACTTGAGGATTTGTGGGCCATCAGCTCTTGCCTCGAGTGATATCCAAGCCTAAATTCTTACAGTCTGGGGGAAAACAGGTGGCTGGAAAGAAAAGTCCCAGACAGAAAAGAAAGTCCCAGAATTCCTGCTGGCACTGAGAGGGAGTTGGAACCACTTGGATCATCTATCCCAGCAAATTTGGGAGGAAGAGTTAATGGATGCCTCAATCCCAGGAAAAACCCTCAAATCACAAGCAGCTGAGCACGACAAATGCTGGAGATAAGAAATTCCAGTGCTCACAGAAATATTTCATGCAGCTTTGGATATTTTCTGCTTTGTGTAAGTAGAAGCTCCAGGCAAGAGAAACAAGAAGAACTTGAGCTGAAGTGAGTAAAACTCCTGGTACCAGCAACGTGCTCTTGTATTTCCAAGGGAAGCAGTGCTGGTATCAATCCTTCTGAAATGAGACATCAGCCAGCCAATTTCAAGGCTTGTCTTGCAGAAAATGGGGCACAAGATTCAGCTGCTGAACAGTCCTGCTGGCCTCAAATTTAATTTGCTCTGAGGTGATATAAGAGCAGGATAATACCATGGTTGTTGTACTTCTAGAGAGCTTTTGACAAAGTAAATCTGTCACTGACAGGCACCACAAGCCCCGTTTCACAGCAGGAACTGTGGCCCACAGATGCTAAAATCAAGCACACAACAGTCCCCACTTACCTGACAATCTCAAGGATTTGCTGCCAAGAGGGGAAGAAACTGGAGTGATCTGTGCTCAGTCTGCAGCTCAACACAGAAACTTTGGAGGATATTCAAAGGACCAATTGCCTGGTCAGGCTCTGTTCCCA